GTCGACCGGGGCATGTGGCGGTGGAATGCTCTGCCGCCCCTCACTGCCCGGTGTGTGCGGCGGGTAACAAGCCCGCCAATCATCAGATGGGGCAGGGGGGCTGCAAGCCTCCCCGCAACTCTCAGCAAGCATCGGGGGCTAGCCAGTCGACCCAGGCTGCCTCCGATGTAGTTCGAGCGTCGACGTCGTCGCCCATGGAGGAGGCTGTAGAGACGATCCAGTAATGGATCGGGTCTCCAGCCTCCTGGTCCAGACGAACCTGAACCACTGTGCCGCGGCGCAGGATCTCTTCCTGCAAACCATGGCACAGTGGTCGATAGGTGTTGCCGTAGTCGCGGAGCCCTATTCTGTCCCTCCCCGTCCAAACTGGATGGGTGACTGGGACGGCTCCGTGGCAGTCGTCGGTTCCACGACGGCTCATTCCCCGCCCTTGTCGCTAAGAGACAAGGGCACTGGATATGTTGCCGTCGAGTGGGGGGGGATCACCATATATGGTGTTTATTTCTCCCCCAACCGGAGTTTGAACGACTTCGAGGTTTTCCTAACCAGCTTGGAGACCTCGATACGACGACTAGCGTCTGGGCACGTCCTTGTGCTGGGGGACTTCAACGCAAAGTCCATTGCGTGGGGTTCCCCCAGGACGGACGCAAGGGGCGAGGCCGTAGAGGAGTGGGCGGCCTCGGTGGGCCTCTGTCTTCTAAACAGAGGCTCCACCAACACGTGCGTGCGACAGCAGGGGGGGTCGATAGTGGACCTCTCGTTCGCTACCCCTGCCCTCGCCGCACGAGTAAGGAACTGGTGTGTCCTGGAAGAGGTTGAGACGCTCTCGGATCACCTGTATATCCGATTTGAGCTCTCCCGGACCCAGGACTCCAGTAGGGGTCACGTGGCGCGGCGTTTATCCCGCTTTCCGCGGTGGGCTGTTGCCAGACTGAACCGGGACCTACTAGAGGAGGCAGCCATAATTCACTCGTGGCTGTCTCCTCAGGCTCCGACCGAGGAGGTCGACGTGGGGGCTGGCCGCTTTCGCGATGCGATTACGCATATCTGCGATGCGGCCATGCCCCGCATTCGAGGTCGTCGGCCTCCAAGGAAGGAGGTCTACTGGTGGTCCCAGGAGCTGGCGGACCTCCGTGCGGCCTGTACACGTGCCCGGAGGTCCTACACACGCAGTCGGCGGCGTCACCGTGGAGACGGTGAGGAGGACCGGCTTCATGAGGAGTACCGGCGGGCGCGGAAAACTCTGAAGCTGGCCATTAGCCGCGCCAAAGAGGAAAAGAGACAGGAGATGCTGGAGGGTCTTAATCGTGACCCCTGGGGTCGCCCTTACCGCGCGGTGCGACAAAAGCTCCGCGCGTCGGGCCCCCCCCTTACGGAGACTCTCCAGCCCAGCTTCCTGCAGGAAGTGGTCGAGGGCCTATTCCCGCAGCGGGCGGAGCACACACCCCCGTCGATGGCTGCATCAGCCGGAGACGACGGGGGCAGCGAGGTCGATGTTCCGCCCGTCAGGGAATCGGAGTTGGGGGCGGCTGTTCTACGGATTCGATCCAAGAACACCGCCCCCGGGCCGGACGGGGTTCCAGCCCGAGTGATGGCCCGAGCCCTCGACTACATGTCGGACCACCTCAGGGGGGTGTTGGACGCTAGCCTGGCGTCCGGACGCTTCCCTGAGCGCTGGAAATGCGGGAAGCTGGTCCTGCTGCAGAAGCCGGGACGGCCTGCCGATTCGGTCGCGGCCTATAGGCCCATCGTGCTGCTGGACGAGGCGGGCAAATTGTTTGAGAGGGTTCTTTCTGCCCGCATCGTCCGGCACCTCTGCGAGGTGGGCCCCGATTTGTCGGACGCCCAATTTGGTTTTCGGGCGGGGCGTTCGACAGTCGACGCCGTGTTGCGCCTGAGGGCCGTGACCGAAGAGGCAGTGAGCTGTGGCGGCGTGCTGTTGGCGGTGTCATTAGACATCGCCAACGCATTCAATAGTCTGCCATTCAGCTGCATCAGGGAAGCACTCCACTATCATGGGGTGCCAAAGTACCTGAGGCGGCTAGTGGCAGACTACTTAGAGGAGCGTACCGTCGTGTACGAGGACCGAGAAGGTAATTTGAGGAGTCGGCCCATGTCGTGCGGTGTTCCACAGGGGTCTGTTCTTGGACCCCTCTTGTGGAACATAGGGTACGACTGGGCCCTTCGCGCCGATTTCCCCCCCGGGCTGGGTGTAATCTGTTACGCAGACGATACCCTCGTGACAGCCCGGGGGGCAAACTTCCAAGAGGCGGCGCGCCTGGCCACAGGGGGAGTCTCCCTGGTGGTCGGGCGCATTGAGGCGCTGGGCTTACGGGTGGCCCTAGATAAGACGGAGGCCCTGTTATTCCATGGGCCCCGTCGTGGTCCACCCCCTGGCGCCTCAATCGTGGTCAACTCGGTCCTCGTACCGGTTCGGGCCCAGATGAAATATCTGGGCCTGATCCTCGACGGGAGGTGGCTCTTCGACGAGCACTTCCGACAGCTTGCTCCAAAGCTGGTCGGCGCTGCGTCTGCCCTAGGGCGACTCTTGCCCAATATGGGTGGACCCAGCGTCGCGACAAGACGGCTGTACACGGGGGTTGTCCGGTCAATGGCGCTGTACGGTGCACCGGTGTGGGCGGCGGCTCTGACCGCCCAGAATAGGGTACGCCTCTGGCGCCCTCAGAGGGTAATGGCGGTCAGAGCCATACGCGGTTACCGCACCGTTTCTACGGAGGTGGCATGCGCGTTGGCCGGAACTCCCCCGTGGGATTTGGAGGCGGAAGTGCTCGCCGAAGTTTATCGGCGAGTGGCTGACTTCCGGGCGGAGAGCGGATTTCGCCCTCCGCCCGAGGATGTGCGCGAGTGGCGCGAAGCCGCTCGCCGAGCCACGATGGCTCGTTGGTCGTTCCGGCTGGAGACTCCACGCGCTGGCTTCGCCGCCGTGGAGGCTCTCCAGCCGGTCATCGCCGAGTGGGCAGGGCGGCAGCACGGGACCCTTTCCTTCCGACTGACGCAGGTGCTTTCCGGGCACGGTTGCTTCGGAAGGTACCTGCACACGGTCGCTAGGAGGGAACTGAGTCCCGCCTGCCACCACTGCGACTGCAGTGAGGACTCGGCCCAGCACACGCTGGCGGTCTGCCCCGCATGGGCGGCGCAGCGCCGGGCCCTCACTGCAGTCATCGGAGTGGATCTCTCGCTACCGGCCGTAGTACGCTCCATGGCCGGTAGCGACAGTTGTTTTACCGCGGTCGCAACCTTCTGCGAGGTAGTAATCTCGCGGAAGGAGGCGGCGGAGAGGGCCCGGGAGGACGACCTCCACTCGGACCCGATCCGCCGCCGGCGAACCGGGCGGCGGAGGCCCGGCTATCACAGCCTCATGCCGCCCTGAGTGTGGCCGCGGGTGGACGGGGTGGGTTTCCCCTCCACCCGCATTAGTTGGCCAGCCGCGAGGGGGCGGCGTCCGCGTGTGCCGGACGTCGCCTAAAGAGAGGGAAAATATATCGAGACGGAGCCCGCACCAGGAGCGGGCTGGCGCTAGGAGGGGTCCGGATGTCTTAACAACAGCTGTTCCCGGATCCCTCCTGTTACAGGCGCAGAGTGGCACACCGTGTGGTTTTAGTCGGTCCGAGTCCGACACACCACCCCGCCGCAAACCCCGGAGGGGTGACGGTCCGAGGGGATTTCCACACGTTAAAAAAAAAAAAAAAAAAAAAAAAAAAGGGTTTGTTTCAAGTTTTCCTTCTCTTGCGAAAATATACAATGGGTTTAACAGACAATAAATAAACGTGTAATAACTTTCAGATAATAAAAACTTTACAATATTTTAACTCGGCACGCTTCACTCCGTCTACAACAGCTATGTTCATATCGTAGTTTTTCTATTTTTATTAACCAGCGACCTCTATTTTCAGTATACTGCTGGACACCTTAAATTTCCCTCATATGAGGCAGTTCTCCTGGAGTCTACACTCCATAGTGAAGATTTGTCAGTTGTCATTGTCAAAAACCTTTACTTTTTAGCTAGCAGTTGCTACTTTATTTTTTTATACCACACCACACCTTATATTTCCAATACAGAACTTTCAAAAACGTAAATAATGCATTGCAAAATGAAAAATAAAATTACATTCTTAATTGATTTAGTACTTATAATTTGAACTTATAGGTGATTACCATATTCCGATACTTTAGTGGCCAGTTTTTCTACTACTTGAAAGAATGGCTGTAGAATGGTAACATTGAACTAATGAGGAAAATTAAAATAATCAAATATGCTCATAATAATTCTTTTAATTTTACTAGGGTCTAGTGACTTAGACGATAAATTCAAAAATAGTAGAGATATTTACTATTATGAGATTCAGTCCTACACAGTACCCATTACTACAATAACCATTTTTATCTTTTTACAAATTACAAAAATAATAGGTAATTTACGAAGCTATTTTAACCAATACAGGACTATTCCTTATCCAAATAAATACGATACGTTGTGCATTTAAAATAGATCAAAATTGCTTTTAACAGCAAATTATTAAAGTAAATATCTTGGTAGATATCAGAGATTTAAAATGTGGGGCAACGCGGCTTTCGCTGTATCGTCGCGCTGTACGTCCGTCCCAGGTGGCCTATGAAAAGTGACTAAAACGATGTCCTGTAGTATAGTCTTATCACAATAATTACTTCACACTAACACTACATTAGTAGATAATAGTAGTATCTACATTGAACCCATGCGAAGCCGGGGCGGTTCGCTAGTATATTGTAAATGTGGGAGTGAGTTTGTTTATTTGTTACACTTTCACGCCTAAACTACTTAACCGATTTAAAAAATTATTTCACTAATGGAAAGCTACATTAACAGTGAGACCATAACAAATGTATTTGTATCTGTACTCATGGCTATAAATTCATAACGACCCCCCACATCACCAATCATAATACTACTGAACCGAAAATATCTGTTCTTTATTTACCCCGAAGAATATTTGTTTCAGAGTATCTGCATCCAGTGCAACAGTATACGCTTACCTTGGCGAAATGCACACCAACTCTAAACGAGCATCCGCCATCGCCTGGGGATCTGCCTTCATATCCTTCTCATTCATAACTCTACCAGGTAAGTTTTCTTTTTCCTCGTTTGTTATTTTTCCTCAATAAACAAAATGAATCGTATCTTTAGCATTTACTCCTTGACGCAACACAATCTAAAGTATACACTTGCGGGCTATTTGCAGAAGTTGTCATATGATAACACGGAAAGGCTTATCGTTGCATTTTCATAACTGTCTACAGGCATAACACATGATGTTTTTCAATGCTCTACATAACTGTTACTGTGCACATCCTATTAAATAGATCTATGACGTTGTTTAAATTGCTATCTAGAAATTACACGACTCCTAAGATACAGTCTTACCTAGTTTAGGAGTCTGTCGTAACTGACCGGTATTTGTGATCATATTACTACTTAAGCTCTGTCATACTTGTGCATATTATGCGCTGTGCTTAAGCTAAGTATAAATGTAAGAATTGAAGTAAATAAAGAATATTATTATTCTTATTATTAATCATCACCATCTTCGTCATCAAAAGCCTTTAATAGCCCACTGCTAGACATATGCCTCTCCTTAAAATTGAGGTTCGGCCTACTGTACCGTTGGCCAGAGAAGTTGGTTTAGGGTTTGTGTCTAGATTTCCGTCTCTTTGCAGGTTTTGTTTACTCCATTAGTCGGTTCTTACGGTACCCACGGAATTAATAGTGACAATCCGTATTCTTAATACGGAGTCACCACACCGAACCTTAATAAATTTGCCACCTAAAACAAATAGAATTATTAAGATCCGGCTTATAATTTTAAAGATTATCGCATATATACAAACTGCTTATTGGCACTGCTTTGCTCCTGAGGGTCGTAGTGAGAGAGACAGCCTTTAATAGTCCACTGCTGGACGTAGGCTCTCCTTAGAAAGGACGTTTTGGCTAACTATACCACGCTGGCCAGACGGGTTGGTATAGGGTTAGTTTCAAGTTTTCCTTCTCTTTACAGTGCTGTTGTTCTGCGCAGTTTGCAAACTACGCAGGATTTTTTTCTTAAGTTTATCAAATTACAGCTCATTACAATTTATCAAGATTGAAGTCAGTGCTACTATTTTTAAAACTTAATGTATTTTATAAGTATGTAAATTTTACCTCTGCAGAGATATCATCTGGACTCTTTTTAACAGGTTTCGCTAATTATAACGTAAGGTAATAAATCAAAAAGTTGCAAGTGCAGTAATATCTTATATGTATATTTAATACATATATACAATAAAAATTAATTAATATCTAGAATATAAACATCGTCATGAATATAATAATATTCATAAAAATTTACATTCAAGAAAAACATAGCTCTTTCATCTTACCTTAATACAAGAAATAATAGTTTAAAAAAAATATATGTACAATAAATTTGAAAAAAAGCGTGGGGTGCTTTTTACTATTGACAACAGGCACCCAAAGCTTTTTTCAAATTTATTTTCTATTTTTTTAGTTTGGTTTTCTATAGAAAGCATGTTTTTTAGTTTTTTAAAACTATAATATTTTTTTAAATTAGTGTATTGTCATCGGTCCTCGATATATCTACAAAGTTTGAACGAATTCTGACCGTTTAAAGTCAGTCAAAATCACGCCCAAAGGAGTCGGTTACAAACAAACAACCATACAAGTGAAGCTAATATAAAGCGTGTAAAAATGAACACTATAGTAATATATTTGTAGATTTTTAAAATTATTTAAAATTTTACTATTTTTTGTTGCCTCTACTTTTTCGCTTTGGCACCAAATTTTTCCATACAATGTTTGTTTATTTTTTGAAAATTCTTTAAATATATATTGTATAAGGCGGACTTAACGCCACAGGTATTTTCTTCCAGTCAAACCTCTGAGTGTTGCAAAGCTGTGTGTGACAGGTGTATATTTGGAACTAGTAAGATATGAGACTAAATTAAAGTATGTTACTAAAGAAAAAAAAACCAACAAATATACACAAACTGTAGTAAATACATGCTAAATTATAGTATAAATATCAACATAATTATAAGATAATACATAAATATAAAAATACACTCTCTGATGACTCCGTCAACAAGTCTCTATAGAGCTTCCGTACTTGAACTCTAAAAGCGACATTGAGGAGTATTTTGCGTTCTTATACAAAATCTATTTTGATCTCTTCTTTCATTGTCTCACGCATCGTCCGAGCTCACCCCGAGCATGCTCGTTCTAGTCGAAGTTTATTCACAATTGACCCGCATTCAGTGCCTTTTAGTGTCTGTCTAGCTGGTTAGTGACCCTGACTGCTAAGTTGGGGATCGTGAGTTCCTTAACCCGGGACAAATATTTGTGTGATTAGTACAACCATTTATGTTATGTATGTATGTAAAAATTATTTAAGTATGTGTATGAGCAGTCTAATTACCATAGTACAGGCTCTGCCTACTTTGTGATAAGACAGCCGTGTGTGAGATGTTTGAGGTCATTGTTATATTTGATCAAGCCTCTTGAACACACGAACATAATGCTCCACCGATTTGTTATCACAGCTTATTTCAATTCCAGGTCTAGCCTGGATAATAATCCCAGGCAAGTGGTCTTTTACGTTGGGCTACATGGAGATCGTCCCCTGGCGCGCGTTCGTCTGCCTGTGGTGTATCCCTGGGTTAACATCTGCTATCATTCTTCTGTTCTTGCCTGAAAGCCCGCGGTTCCTGCTCGTTGCCAAGGGTCCGGAGGCTGCGTTGCCAGTTCTAGCGAAGATGTACAAATGGAATTACGGTGGAAGTGCTGACGATTTTCCTGTAAGTTTTTTGACAATGTTAATTAAAAATAGAAACTTAAAGTTTGCCATAAAGTTCTTCCTGTTTTGTACCCAATTTTGATTGGTTTATACCTTTTTATCTCTCAAACCCTAAGTCTTCCTATAAATGTGGTTGTTGCCAGACGGTAAAGGTAAAATCAAAGGAAATCTTGACACAAACCCTATACTAACTCGTCTGGACAACGTGATATAGTAGGCCAACAACTCCTTTCTGAGGAGACGCCTTTGTCCAGCAGTGGACTATTAAGGGTTCGGTTAAGAAAACAGATAGGGTTAAGCAGCATGATACAAAACTGGAAATTTTGGCAGCTGATGCCTTTTACTTTGTAAGCACGCATCTTAGTGCGTGAAATTAGTGGGTGAAATTTCCATAAATCCTTGCTTACAAGAATTTTTGGAAATTTCACCCCTAAAGGGGAAACATGAGCAATGAACTGTTATAGTTATAGCATGACTGCACGGATGGCGTAGTGGTTTAAGTGGTCGCCACGCCGCTTCCTACTACGCCGAGTGTTGTGGGTTCAAACCCCACATGGGACAACACTTTGTGTGATCCACAATTTGTTGTTCTGAGTCTGAGTGTTCTTTGTCTCCGTTTCATGTATGTTTGTAAAGTCCCCCGCGACACAGAAATATATTCCTAATGCTGGCGTTGTCTTTTTTAGAAAAGAAAAAAAGATATGGAATATCGTCATCGCAATGAATTCTTAGCATCCGACTGTTCGTAGTAGTTATTCTACTAATCTTACAATAATCCGGGTATATTTTTACGAACACCACTAAAAATTTTAAACAAGCAGAAGGTCAATTCTCGTAATAAAAATTCGTTCAAAACGTTTTACATCTATTCTCAATTCATTGAAGTAATCTTTTCATTTATTTTTCTTCAGGTAAAGAAGATAAGATCAGGCGGTGAGGAGGTGAAGAAGGCAGGTTTTGCAGGAGCCATCAAGAACGTGAGCGTCATGTTCAAGGGGCCTCTGCTGAAATGTGTAATAATATCACATGTCTCCATGTTTACTATTTTCATGTTGTAAGTCGATAACCAGGCCGTTATTAAATAATATCTATTTTTTTATGGTATAAAGAGCAAATGAGCAGGGCCTCAATCCTGCTATTCTAATATTGTATCATTAGACTGTCAATGGACTGTCGTCGAAACAGTTTTGAACTTTTCGGATTCTTCTAACTATGTAAGACTAATGGCCAAGGTATTAGTTTGATACACGATACATTTTAAATTCATAAGGAAGTGATATATTTAATTTGCCAAATATGACAATGTCACTTCATCGATAGTCTATTGACACTGTGAATTTACGAGTATGTTAGTTGAATACCGATATTTTGTCAATGGCATCTCAATAGTGTATCAATGGAATGACAGTGGCTTGTACGTTAACACATCATAGTAGAATCGAGGCCCAGATCAGTCACTTGATAGTCAGCAGTGACTACCACCGCCTGCGGACACTTGCAACTCAAAAATCACAGAGTGGGGGGAGGGGGGAATTGAGTGATTTAAAAGGTCATCAAGCCGCTTTTTTGTGTGTGTAGTGTTGTGGGTTCGATCCCCACATGGGACAACACTTCGTGTGATCCACAAATTGTTGTTCCGAGTCTGGGTGATCTTTGCCATCTAGTGTATATTTAATGAACTACTTATAAAAAAGTACATCTTAGTACAAATTGTAACTAGTTCAATAATTTTTGGTACTGGTTAATAAACCAATAATTAATAGTAATTACATTGTAGAAATAACTTCTCAATATCAAAACTCCAATCTAAAATATAAAAAAAATTACTTACCAAATATTCCATCCCTATTAAATAACAATTCCACATTCCAGATCAAGCGGTCTATACGTCTGGGTACCAGATATACTGAACAGCATCCTCAAAAGTGGGTTCAACCAAAAGATCTCCATCTGTCAGATTATAGAAGACAAATTTTTGAATGCTACTGTAAGTACAAAATGGATTTTTTGTTTTCTCTTTTACGGATGTCGAGACCAGCGTGCAGACAGAACAGCTGATCGTAAGTGACTATCAGCATGTACACCTGCTATTCAAGGGACAAGTGCGATGTAGCCCTATGCCCTAGCCCTATATATTTACATGAATACGTAATACTTTATGTATACGTAGGTCAGCTCAGCTAACACAGCTCTCATGTTTTTTTGTTTTCCACAAAAAATGTACAATAAACTACCGGATGTATTTTGTCAATTCATAAGGAAACGATTTTAGGAAGAAATTTAAAATAAACTGCTATCTGTCCGTGTAGTGACTGATTAAGAATACGGAATGTCACTACCCCAATTCATTCCGTGGGTGTCGTAAGAGCCGACTAAGGGCGCAAAACAACGCAGGACACCAGCTCTGCAAAGAGAACGAAAACTTGACACAAACCCTATACCAACCCGTCTGGCCAGCGTGGTATAGTAGGCCAAAACCTCCTTTCTAAGGAGAGGCCTATGTCCAGCAGTAGACTATTAAAGGCTATTGATGATGATGATAATGATGATCTGAAAAATGTTATTAAAATGTTAACGATTATTTAAATTGCAGTCTGTAACCATAGATCTCAGCACCGCCCAATCGGTCGACTGGCAGAGAATGCCTTAGGCATTAAGTCCGCCGATGCATGTACTTGTGCAAAAAGTTAAAAATAAAAATAAATAAAAATCTTCTCTTGCTCATTAAAATGCCTGTATCAACAATTTTTCTTTTTTATTTTACTTAAGAGTTATACCCCACTTGTGGCAGAATATGCTGTGATTCCTGATTGTAATTTTTAAGAACTTTGCACCATATTCATGTAAATAAATTGATTTGATTTGATTTGAAAATGTTATTGGTGCGATAATGAAATTGCCACACGAGATGGCAATACCAGTCAGATTTTCGATACTTTTAATATTTCATTTAATTATACAGTAACTATTTCTGATTTTTTTCTTGATATTCTTGATATATCAAGCTAAAGAAAAGCGTTTTTGTTTGTCATTTTGAGCCATTCCTAAACCGCTTATGTTTAATCAACGTGTTTGCTATATCTTAAGGCTGGAGCTGACAGCAGGCAGGACGGCGACGAGGCGTTGAAATTTAGTAATGTATGAATTGATGAAAACCATGTTGGAGAAACGGGTATTATGATCCGAGGTGACTTACATTACTCCGTAATTCGGTGTATCTTAGTTCCATAACACTGAAATGTCTTCTCCGTTGTACGTAAAAGTCGTCACCGCCCTGCCCAGCCCTCTGCCTTTTTTTTTTTTTTTTTTTAACGTGTGGAAATCCCCTCGGACCGTCACCCCACCGGGGTTTGCGGCGGGGTGGTGTGTCGGACTCGGACCGACTAAAACCACACGGTGTGCCACTCTGCGCCTGTAATAGGAGGGATCCGGGAACAGCTGTTATTAAGACATCCGGACCCCTCCTAGCGCCTGCCCGCTCCAGGTCTCAAAATCCAAAAAGGCCCAGCCCTCTGCCTGCTGTAACCTTAAGTATTACAATAAGTTCTCACTTCACAGTTATCACCACAAAAGACCTGCGAGGCTGAAGTATCAATAGCTATGTTCCCGATATCAATGTCGATGGGAGCGGTATTCGCGTTCACTTACTTGGCCATAGGATTCTTGATCAATAAGCTTGGAAGAAAAACCATGTACTGTGAGTATATAATTTATCTATATTAGAGTTCTTCTGGTCTTTGAATTTGACTTTAGTTTTTTGATTCCTTGTATGGTGACGGATTAAGAATATAGAGTGCCACACCCTATTCATCCCGTAGCTGTCGTAAGAGCACTGCAAAGAGAAGGAAAACTTGACACAAACCTTATACCAACCCGTCTGGGCAGCGTGGTATAGTAGGCCAAATCCTCCTGTCTAAGGAGAGGCCTATGTCCAGCAGTGGACTAATAAAATCTGTTGTTGATGATGCTGATGATGAAGAAGAGAAAAGAGCGTACTCCTTCCTCAAAATTTTGTTTTTTTTTCGATTTTCAAAGTTCCGACATGAATATACTCGTATATCTTTATATTACAATATATGTTTATATTATATATAGTTATAATTATCAACGTATTTCAATCCAAACTCAACTCTCGTGTAAAAAGGGGCCAATATATGTAGATACTTATATTCAGAGGTGTCGGTAACGGTAACAGTGTCGCGAGTTCAAGAGTTTTTCCAATCTTAAAAAATACAAAATTTTTGTTCAAAAATGCCCAACACGCCTAATGAAGGTTTCACTTCAAAAAAATTGTGCTCATCACATAATTACTTGTCCTGCGGCCGAATCAGATCGACTGCCTTAGAAGTCGGAATCACTAACTACTAAGTGATTTCGACTCACTAAGTGATTCCGACTCACAAAGTGATTCCGACTCACTAAGTGATTCCGACTCACTAAGTGATTCCGACTTCTAAGGTAGTCGACCTTAGACGTCGGAATCACTAACCACTAAACAAACTGGCCGTTCATAATGATTGAAATATAACCACATTTATGTGCAGGTGGAGTAATGTTTATTTGTGGAGTGGCGTTGGTGGGCGCGGCCTTCGTTCCTGAGGGGGTGGCGGCCACGGCGCTGCTCATCGTGTCGCTGTGCTCCGGCTGCGCCGCTTCCATCCTCGCGGCTATTGCCGTTGATGTGTTTCCGACTTCTTTGAGGTGTGTTTATTGAATATCAAATAAAGCAGGTAGCTTTAAATTTGATAATTCGAGCACAATTTACACATTTTTAAAGCTAAAAATGTAGTATTGAAATTGCTCCACTTTAAGGGTAATTTAGTAAGCACCACTTTTTCTTAAAAGATCCTATAAGACAACATTTGTAACTATTGTATGTATGTATATGTTTAAATACCCGTGGAGTTTTACTGAAAAAATATGTAGGGTAATACCCGTAGGATGCCGGGATACGACCACGCCTGGGCAAAAAGACTTGGCATAATATGGACAATCTATAGCACGAGGGGAGCTGATATGGGCGATTTCTCTAGCCAAGTTTTACTTTATTTATATATATTTTATTTTATTTATTTTTATTTTAGTTTTGAGAAAGATAACTCCCGCCCTAGGAATAAATCCTATGTCGCGGGGGACTTTACAAACATACATGTAACGGACACAAAAAATACCCAGACTCAGAACCATAATTTGTGGATCACACAAAGTGATGTCCCATGAAGGGTTTGAACCCACAACACATGGCGCAGTAGGTAGCGGCGTGGCCACCGCTTAAACCACTACGCCATCCGTGCAGCATATATGTATATACTCGTATATAGTCCCTGCCCCATCTCTCTACCTTTGTTATATCTGAGAACGCTGCATTAAACTTAAGACCTAGTATTTTACCGAACACAAAATAAGAAGAGGTATTATAAGTTAGATCTATTAAATCTGTGTAAATGTCTGTTGCGTCATAGCTCCTAAACGGCTGTTATAATTTTGTTGGTAAATAACAGGGCGATGGCGATGTGCGTGATGTACATGGTGGGACGAGCTGGGGCAGCCGTGGGCTCGTACCTGCTGGGCGCCACGCTCGACCTGCACTGCCTTGAAGCTTTTACAGCCCTCGGAATTTTTACTTCTGGTAATATATTTATAATTACTATATATTCTAATTCAGCAAACTCAAATTCAAAATGTTTATTTACATACAATTACTACATTTTTATTCGAAATCATCCATTTAATTTTATTTTTGATATAAATACAGAGTAAACACTTTTCAAATGTTGCGTTTGCTCAAACGTTTTTACTTAAACGCAACATTTGAAAAATTCTCTGAGAAGGAATCAGGCTGTGTTGCCATTAAATATTGTTATATATATGATGATGATAAGATATATAGATCTTTATTACACATCTAACTGGAGAAACTAAAAAAATGGGATTTTTTTTAAAAAATTAGTAAATGAAAAGAACCTAGAAACAAGGCAGGAATTGAAATACCAAGAAGATCAAGTCAACCCAATCTTTACGGTTAAATTTGATTCTTTACTTGTCCACTGAGTTGAAAAAATAAGAAATAACAGATGGATAGGCGTAGATCATTATATGTAGGTTTAAAACAGAAATAAATTTATATCAATTATACCAAAAGTATATCTTCTATTCGATTTTATGGGGATATTGATAACACAAAATATTCATTTCAGGTTCCACAATACTAATGATGTTTTGGCCAAATCCAGAAAAAGTGCGGAAACAAATGGAGGACAAAGGATTCTCGTACTAAATAGCTTTATTAGAATTTTAATAGATGTGTTTACGTGTCCCAAAAAGAGACTGAATTACAGTTTATGTGTTTGTACAATCTTGTTATAAGTAAGAATATTAAAAACTATTTTAAAAATCTACGTGTTGTTAATTACAATTAAATTAAGCGACATCTATGAAAGAAATGTAATAACTAGGAACATCTAGTTAATCAGATGCGTAATCAAATCCTTTTCACAACGTTTTTCAGATGCCTTAGGTAATCGCTAGATGTCGCTACTAATACTTGCTCAGTGATTGTATATTATCACGCTTTTATTCACTTGGTTAGTATGTGTGTATGTGAATTAAAACTTGTAAACTTATCAAGGACCGAAGACAATACAATTATTTGATAAATTTAGCCAATTAACCTGATCAGGATCTTCAGGATATCTTCGGTTTTTTTAATACCTAAAAATACGGTAGTGTCTTTTGCAACGTGCTAAGCCATATGTGATTTACTTGCTTGTACCTTTTTTAGTCTTATTGAGAAAAAAATCATCATGAATGACTGAAAAAGCAAAAATAAATTATGGTTAAAAAACATATTTTCTCACAATTATGCTTTAACACGCACGTCTTAGTACGTAGGTAAGCTACTACCGAAAAGAGAAACTAACGCGATAAATACATAAACATCCTTCAAAAGGTTTGTATATACTGTCAAAATTTTAGCCCAATCGGTGCAGAACTTTTTAAGTTTTTGAAGCGTATACAAACCAACTTATAGCGTCAGTCGTAGTTTAAAAACTTACTTGTTTAGAAAATCAATTAGGTATGAGGGCTTTAAACCCAATATGTCCACAATACCACCTCCACTCACTTCGAGAGCCGCTTTCCACGATTATTTACAGCTAGTTGGAAGTAACTTTTTCCATCTGTAATTTTTTTAATAATAATATATCTCACACATCTCACACACGGCCGTCTGATCCCAAACTAGCAGATCCTGTACTATGGTAACCAGACTGCTGATAAACATACCTATATATTTTTAAAAAGATTCATATTTTAGATAAATTACACCCAGACACAGAACACATGAGCATGCTCATCACACAATATTTGTCCTGGGCGGGAATCGAACCCACGACCTTCGGTTTAGCAGTAAAGGTCACTAACCACTAGACCAACAGGCCTGTCAATAATGTTTTTTGTTTTAATCAGTGGTGCCACTTTAGTGTTCCAGTAAGTAATAGTTAAGTATTATCATATGAGTAATTTTTATTACACACTAGCTTAGCTTAGCTAGCTTATGTCCTTTCTCACGAATCAAACTATCTCCACACCAAGTTTTATTTGTATTGGTTTAGCTGTTACTGATTCCTCATACAAACTTCCAGTCCCTTTTCACTCAATTGAAAGATGATTTCTGGAACTTTCCTATGTGCTTCCCCGGGACTTAACTCTGTACTCAATATTAGTATCATCATCAACAGCCTTTACTAGTCCACTGCTGGACATAGGCCTCATATTTTATAGTAACTGAAAGTTGAATCGGTATTCTGCTAGGCTTTAATGTCATAGCCATACTAATCAAATATAGTCCGTGTGGTGACGGATTAAGAATACAGAGTGTCACCACCCCTATTCATCCCGTAGGTGTCGTAAGAGCCGACTAAGTGAAAAAACTACGCAGAACAACAGCACTGCAGAGAGAAGGAAAACTTGACACAACCCCTATACCACCAACCCGTCTGGCCAGCGTGGTATAGTAGGCCAAAACCTCCTTTCTAAGGAGAGGCTTATGTCCATCAGTTGACATAAGCCATAAGTTAAAGGCTGTTGATGTGAGTAGATCGGAACTGAATTTTAAACTCATTTTATTACCAGAATTGACGTTTCCTTGAAATCTGACCTTCAGATATAAACATCGAAATCTAAATATGTATAAAAATAAATGTTTGTGTACTGAACGTTTCTACATGAAATTTTAAATATAAAGCTCCTGGTATATAACAAAAAAGGTGTGGCTACCTTGCATCCAAAATAAAAAAGGGTTATAGAAAACCCTTCAGATTCGATAGCGTCATCATATCTTTCCCTCGGTTGTAACAATCACATTGTCGGGAGCGAAGTTTAGCTTTCATACTAAAATAATTACTAGAAAGTCACGAGGTATTTCCAAATGCCAGGGTTGAACGTGCCGACCAGGGCGACGAATGATTCATCATTATTTTCCCATTTAGCTAATGTTTATCCGTTACACTTTGATTATCACAACCCTTTGGCACCTTTTTGTCAACCCTTGTTAGGATACGACAAAAAATGTGGAACAATCCTTCGATGATGGTCATAATGACATTCTCCTCACTGTGTATAGTTACTTAAGTGAATTAACAATCCACGCCAAAATGCAGTTGCTTGGTTGTGGGTTCGATTCCCACTCAAGATTACTCATCGTACGGACACCAATTTTCTTTTTAATAATAATTCGGACACCTAACACACAACGCGATCTAGTTTCAAACTAAACAGAACTTGTACTATGAAAGCTAGATTGGCCGATAGAATACTTTTTAGTGAATACATACATATTATACAGAGAAAACACCCAAACTCCGAAACAAATACTTGCAGATCATACAAACACTTAGTCCGACCCGGGAATCGATCCCGAGACCTCAGCACAGCAGTTGCATACGCTACCACTGCACCACCGAGGCCATAAATTTGGCAAAAGGGTAAGAAGAGATTAGATAAAGATTAGCTTTTATAATTATTAATTAATAAATAATTAATAATTTTTCTATTGATAAATTACAATCGCATATATCATGGAGAGTGATAATACCAGTAGCAAATTTCCGCCATCGTTCCACCCGGCAAAATCTTCATCCTCATTACCTGGATAGTTGGCGCTCCTCTACTGTGCGCTTTTCGAGATACTTTCTGCCCCGCACAACCAATCTGTGGAACGGGTTATCGTCTGCGGTATTTCCGGACCGATACGACCTTCAAGAAAAGAGCGTACTCCTTCCTAAAATGCCGGCAACGCGTTTGTGACTCCTGAGTTGCAGACGTTCATGGGCGGCGATGGTCACTTTCCATCAGGTGACCCGTCTGCTCGTCTGCCCCCTCTAACATAAAAAAAAACAAAATTAATATTTATATCATCAACAGCCTTAATAGTCCACTGCTGGACATAGGTCTCTCCTTAGAAAGTAGGTTTTGTCCTACTATACCACGCTAGTCAGACGGGTTGGTACAGGGTTTGTGTCAAGTTTACTTGCGCCTCATGCCGCCCTGAGTGTGGCCGCGGGTGGACGGGATGGGTTTCCCCTCCACCCGCATTAGTTGGCCAGCCGCGAGGGGGCGGCGTCCGCGTGTGCCGGACGTCGCCTAAAGAGAGGATAAGTGGAGACGGAGCCCGCACCAGGAGCGGGCCGGCGCTGGGAGGGGTCCAGAAGGAGATAACTACCTGGACCCCTCCTAAACTGGAAGCGCAAAGAGGGCACACCGTGTGGTTTTAGTCGGTTCGAGTCCGACACACCACCCCGCCGCAAACCCCGGTGGGGTGACGGTCCGAGGGGATTTCCACACGTAAAAAAAAAAAAAAAAAAAAAGGGTTTGTGTCAAGTTTTCCTTCCTTTTATATATACTTCTCATAAAGTATTAATATAAAACACATAAAATAAACAGCACAGTAATCCCCTCAAAAGTTAAATTCTTATTACCCTATAATTGCAGTCAAGAGGGGTACGTTCAGGGTCAATCGGTAGGACACGGGGCCGTGGGGTGGAACATCCCCTTGTGATAGTGTACAGCAATTTTAATTAGCTAACCGATGAACAACCGTTGTGAACATATGGGGTGATATATGGGACAATAGTTACGAGTATTAATAACTTTGAAAGTTATTACAATCTCTATGAAACACAGCTAGTATTTATTAGAGATTGTAAAAGCGTGACAGAGCAGCCTTCGCTGTGGCAAATTATGGCTGCATTAAAGATAAATGAGGAACAAAACTGACGCGACAAATAGATAAAAACAATATTTGAAGTTTGATGTATATCGTGTCCAAATTTGACCTCAACCAGTGCAGAACTTTTTGAGTTTTAGAAGTGTACACAAACTATCTATACAAATAAATAAAATTGAAGTCTCTGTTTGTGAAATCAAAATAATATGTTTTTTTCTATTTGCACAATACCTATGCCTATAAAACCAGTTTAAAATGTTTTTGTCTGTCAGTCTGTCTGTGTGTTCGGGTAATCTTCTAAACCGCTGAACCGATTTTGATAATATTTTAATACCAGGTAGCTGTTCATGTAAAGAGTAACTTAGGCTATTTTTCTTTTCAGAAAAACCCTAAAAAGCCCTTGCCCGGTCCGTTAATCGAACCCATTAAGGCAACGCTTTTCAAGTCGCGGGTACCAGCTAGTATTAACATATACTCGTATATATAACTTTTCATAGCTCCTTGACCCAAGACATTCCAGTACTTTTTTCGTCGAAGGAAGGTATCCTATATAAGGATAGAGAGAAACATTCATACAGAACCATAGTACTGGAATGTCTCTGAAAAAAGCGGGTACGAAAAGTGACAAAATGACTGGATAAAACACGAATGAATACATTTCTGTTAATATGTTATTTGGTACTAGTTTTTCGCAAAAATATAATATATTGATTGACTACTCCTTAGAAAGGAGGTTTTGACCTACTATACCACGCTGGCCGGACGGGTTGGTATAGGATTTGTGTCAAGTTTTTCTTCTCTTTGCAGTGCTGTTGTCACAGTGCGTAGTTTGCTTCCTTAGTCGGCTCTTACGACACCCACGGGATGAATACGGGTGGTGACATTCCGTATTCTTAATCCTTAATCCAATAAGCTCATATCTACATTTAATTGTTAAAAGCAGGAGTTTAACCTCCGTTTAGCAATCGGCTTACTTTTTTTCTTACTTATTTATTGACGTATTATTACCCATTTTTGCCAGGAGGGTTATGTTTTTCGAGTGTATGTTATGT